ATGCACTTCGGTCTTGGAATACACTATATAGTATCCAGTATTCAACCTTTTTTTTCAAGGAGTTATAAGCTTCCAGATCGCGATTCTAAACAATTTAACACACAAAATTGGAAAAAACTGACCGATTTTATTTGATTAAAATGGAAATTCCCCTTACGSGCGCAAGCAACAAGCGTAAAATTTGACTCGCGCGCTGGCTTTACTTTTCGTTGCGTTAGCTAATCAGAAACCTTAATTTTGAAACTACAATACCAAAAAATTTTTTCGTCTCAAAAATACATTCCTTTGACTAAACGTTGTCGTTCATCGGATCAGCCCTACGCGCCTAGACCGAAAAGGATAACGGGTAAATTACCCAGAACTTGCGTCATCCAAACTGCTCGCCAGTTTAAATCTAATTCGCCGTATGCTCGAAGTATGGTTTTAGCAAATTAAATGGGATCGGAAACAGCGAGCTCAAGACGTGTTAGATAACATATGCGGCAGCTTGTAACTGTGAATTAATTATCCCCATGATTCTTTTCGGTCTAGGCGCGTAGGGATGAAGCCGATCAAACGACAACGTTTAGTCAAAGGACTGTATAAGAAGCTATTTAGTGAATCGCGATGCCATATATTGAGAAAWTGCACAACTTTTAGATATTAATATGGAACAGGTAAATGGTTATAATATTTTACTTGTTGTTAATCTAGAACACCATCCTTAGAGTACAGACCAGTGATGTACCACATGTACCAAATGAACTGTGCAGTGTGGCTACACAGACTGAAGACTACGGATGTGTCAATCACTGTACCTCAATGTATGTGGACAATGAACGACAAATGGAAAATAGAGATAGCGAAAGCAACGAAATAAGAGAAGACGTAAATGATGATGATACGATTGATGTCAATGAGCAGAACACGTTTAATAACACTGATGTTAACGASAACCTTGATGAGGTTAGTGAAGACTATGAGGTGGATGAGTCATTGAGTACCATAGTTACCAAGATGAAAGAAAGGAAGGAGCTTGTACCAAATGTACAAACTAAGCACAAAAGTAATACCAAGACTTATGCCTGTTCTTACTGCAGTAGAACATTTAAGTGGAAAAGCGTACTTGATATTCATCTACGAACACATACCGGTGAAAAGCCATACCGATGTTTGCATTGCGAAAAGGCATTTACATTGAAAAGTAGTCTCGTTATTCATCTACGAATACATACAGGTGAAAAGCCATATGAATGTTCGTACTGTGATAAAGCATTTAGTACGAAAACAAGATTGAAAACCCATGTACGAACACATACCGGTGAAAAGCCATATSAATGTTCGTATTGTGATAAAGCATTTTCACACTCTTTTTCTCTCAATCGCCATCACCTAAGATCACATCCCGGTGAAATGCCCTTTGAATGCTCGTATTGTGATAAGGCATTTATTTCGAAAACGAAATTGAAAATCCATGTACGAACACATACCGGTGAAAAGCCATATGAAGGTTCGTACTGTGATAAAGCATTTTCTGCGACAACAAGATTGAGAATCCATCTACGAACACATACCGGWGAAAAGCCATTGAAATGTTCGTATTGTGATAAAGCATTTATTACGAAAGCGAAATTGGATATCCATGTACGAACACATACCGGTGAAAAACCATATGAGTGTTTGTATTGTGATAAAGCATTTGCACGGAAAGAGAATATGAATAGCCATCTACGAACACATACCGGTGAAAAGCCATTTAACTGTTCGTATTGTGATAAAGCATTTGCACAGAAAACGTATATGAATAGCCATCTACGAACACATACCGGTGAAAAGCCATTTAATTGTTTGTATTGTGACAAAGCATTTTCACAGAAAACGTATATGAATAGCCATCTACGAACACATACCGGTGAAAAGCCATATGA